CTTGGATAATTGAATTTGCAACAACCTTTTTTCTTTTGCATACATGAATTTGTAGGATTTAACTTACCACAAGGTCCATGCATCATATGTTGGAGAACAAGTTTATATAAGGTTTCTTCAGCTTTACAATCAGGTAACTCAGCACGAACAATATTGTCATAAGATTCTGGAGTGAGTAGTTTGTATTCATTAGTAAGTATAATAAGAAAATGAGCATGTGGTAAACCACGTTTTTGAAATTCTATAGTATACATAAAAGCTGCAACTTTTCCAAAGATATTTCTTTTTAATATATCTGTTTTTAGTTCTTCTATCTTTGCTCTAAAAACTCGACTAATTAAATCAGGTCTGTTCTGTGCTTCGTCGGTTGGTAGCAAGTGCTCTTTTATCTCGGGCCAAGATGGGTTACAAGTCATCGTTATGAATAGATCAGGTTTTCCAAATTGTTGTACCAAAGAAATAGCATCCATGTAGCGTCGACGCATGTCTCTTGGTCCGCCTATAAAAGTAACAGGAAGGAATGTTTGCTTTCCTATATTTGAAGCGTCTCTTTCTCCAAGTCTTAAAACATCAATGAGTCCTTGTAGCATTTCTATCCTAAAGAGATCTGGATTGAATGAAAAAAAGTCCAATCTCTGTGTTTCAAGTTTTATGTGTTCATCTACTGAATATTGTTGGAATAATCTTCCAGAATGCAAAGTTTCATTTGTTTCATCTTCTCTCATTTGGAATTTATAACAATAATATTCACGAAGAGAGATATTATCTCTTTTTCGTTTTCCTTTTTCAAGATTTTGAGCTTCCATGTCAAGGTATCCATCAACAGAACACATATTTCTAATACTTGGTAATTCTTCGTGTTCACAATAGGCTCGACGCTTAGAAGTATCTTTTGGTTGTATAACTTTTTTAATGCCACAGTGCCATCCACTTTGACCATATGGAAACAATAGTGGATACTGTAGCGGATCATAACATCCGTAATAGTAGTTCACTATTTGAGATCTATTGCTGTGAGTGTAGATTCGAATATGAGGTGCAGAACTAACTTCAGTGATTTCTCTTTCAACCCATATCCCTGCAACTTCTGATGTAGTAGGAAGATTGTATACACGTTGATCCAAGCCTGAGTCAGATTTAAGTGAAATATTGTAGTTCGATAGATTTGGAACATCTATTAGGGATTTTAAGAAAGTAGAATATGGATTAATTCTCAGTATATTCATTAGTTTTTTGACTATTGATTCATGGATTTTGTCTGAGCAAGCCAATCTGTTAGCTAATTCGTTGTCGTTGTCGTAGAAATATAGTTGTAGATTTCTTGCTATTCCACTTGGAGGAAGTAAATCATTGATAAAATGATACATCTTCCCTTGAACTCTAAATGTATATATACCACGATTTCTTTTTACTAATTCTTTGTCATAATTTACACCAAGTGATGTAAATGCAAACATATTATTGTATGTTCTGATATATGTTCGAAAATATTTACATTCTTCGGTAGTTCCTAAATATAAATTCTGTAATTCAACAGGCATCTCATGTGAAACTAACTTGATCGAACCATTGTTACAGCAAAATCCAAGTGGTTCATATTCAAATTTTTTGGCACCACAAAATTTACAGTTAGGCACAGTTTTCAAGGGAATATAATCAGATTGTAATTGACCAACGTATGAACAACTTTTTTTTTGTGAGTTATAACCTGTATATTTAGGTATCATTAGCATAAAACTACCAATTAGGTAATATACAATACTATCATAATAAAAGATTGGGGCAAACCTTTTTTTCCAACCATTCTTGAGCTCATACTACTGTTTTCATTACATGCATGTGACGTTGAGCCCAATGCCAAAAAGTAATTAATTAGCAATAATAAAGACGTTATGTATCGTAGATATATAACTCAATGTTGTATCCTTGATACTTGCCTATTTCAAAGGAGTAGAAGGGATAAGTTATATTCTTTTGCTTTTCAATTGTAACCGGCAAAGCATCAACGTGAGGCTCGTTGGCTAATAGGGGAAACATCACACAATTAGCATCATTTAATTAAACTCACATGCAAAGACCGTGAAGCGACACTTCTACAAAAAGTAAAAGAACAAAAGATGTATTCTAACCTGTTGCTGAAGAGCCCACAAGAGGAACAGTTTGTTGCTGAAACTCAAATGCAGCTTCAGTAGTGCCATGAAAACCATCATTGTCGGACAAATTACTTTTTTTTGACTCTTGTCTTTTTGTTCGTCGTTGTAGTAATAGTGCTTCTTTTTTTCCAGCAAATATTAGTCTATACGTTTCATGTCGCCTAAGTTTCATCTCAGCTTCTGACTTTGCTGAGCAGACATGTTTGTTCTTTTGGTCAGAAGTCATTAGTCCTACAGAAGCACAATTATAAGAATTAAAATACAAGAAATAAGTGGAATCAGAGGTACCAGCAGAAGCAAATAGCAACAACATTAATCACTTGTTAATAAAGAGATCCCGGGTAGAAGGTGCAATGACGAATTTCAACATTAGGTATGTATTCTTATGTCCATTAACATGTTCTGTCTCTTAGAACGAGCTTAAAATCACTCAAGTGTACCTCTGTGGGAAGAGGAAAGTAACAGCCAATTAATGAAGCCATGGAACATGAGATACAAAAGAAAGAAAGGGAAAACATCATAGTAAACAAAAATGTTCAGGAGCACGAAACACTCCTAAGAAACGGATGACTCAAAAAACAGAGTTTTCACCTTCAAGTGCAAACATTTTAAGGAAAAAATTTCATTCAAGCAACAAATTATTTAGTAGAATAAAAAATTTATCAAGAAATTAACTTATATCATCTTTTGAAAGAAAAGGTCAGATTTACTGATAAAACTCTACCAAAACTGAGAATTCATTTAAGAATCAATTAAACTTCAACAAAACTTATTCATTAGAATCAATACTTTCACGAAAAGCTCAATTAAGCTTAATCTTCAAGAAAAAATCAATTGAAATCCAACTTTCAAAAGAAAAAATCAAATTTACTGACAAACTATAGTGTAATCAAAATCTTATAAAAATAATGAAGAAACAATTAGTACCTTTGAAGAAGAGAATAACCCAGTTCAAGAATACTGCGACGACGCAAGTAAAATTGGTCGGTTGTGAGGGGGAAACACACACATGAGCAAATCAGACAAAATTACCAACATGCATGAAGAAATTCCAACAAAAACTACCCAAATGAACATAAAAACTAACAAATGCCTACCATATAAAGTCCAATTAGGAACAATGTGGATGCATTTGACAAAGAATAAAGGAATACTCACAAGAATTAAAAAAATACAGAGTTTTTATCTTCTACAAAGTCTTAATTGCAAAATAAACAAATTAATGAAAACAGAAAAAAAATCAGAACCCAAACTTAGTTTGTTTTCACCTTTACTGAAGAAAAGGCTAATCAAGCGAAAACCCCAAGTATCTTTTTACAGAAGATCTGAAGCTTTGAACAGAGGAAAATACAATAAACCTGAAAGAGGAATTTATGAAGAGGGTAAAGAAAAGCACGGAAGAAAACTTGTACCAAACAAAAGCAGAGCAAAAAATAAAGAAATTGGAAGCGGTGCTTTCTACCTGGCAGATTAGGGTGTCAAGAGAACAGGAAATGACAAAGATATCCTTATGATGAAGCAAGCATGTTGACCATGAGCTCCTTGCTTATCCTCTCTTATCTTATAGTATATAGATAGTAGATTCATTTTTTTTGTTGCTTTATGATATATTAATGATTTGGGATATATGTTTGTTCAAATATTATAGCTTGTTTGGTATATATGATCGTTGCAAGAAGTAAAATAATTAACATAGTAAGAGTAAAATATTTGTAAGGTAGCGATATGAGTCAAGAACTAATTTAAGATTGTAGAGATAAGTAAAAATAATTATGATAAAAATATAAAAAAAATAAAATGAATTGAAATACTCTAAAATACTAGAAAAACTTTAGATGTACTTTAAATATTAGTCCATGTGTTCATACCTGAACCTTGGATTGATATTCTTATTGCTTAAGTAATAAAAGCGTCATGTACGCATCCCGCGTCTTGACGCCTTTAAATTAAAAAATAATTATGTTATAACCATGTGTACATTCCGTACCTTGGTTTAATATATACCTTCAAAGAAATGCCTTGTGTGCGTACCGCATCTAGGTCAAAATAATTAATAAAAATATAATATTTAATCAAGCAGTAATAAATAAGCCATATTCAATAAAAATATAAATCACATGTACAAACACAACTCACAGCCCAACAAATGCCAAAACCAAAGAGAATGGATTAAAAGCTAGAAACTAAGGAGTAAAGCTGATACAGAGCAATAATCGAGCAAAATAACTTTGAATCAAACTCAAATCTGAACTTCAGAAAGAAATTTTTACCTGATTTCGAACTGGTCTTGTGATGGATCGCTTCTCTGATGCTTTTTCTTGTGTCTGCTTTGCTAAGGAATACATACATACATTGAAAGAGAAGAAAAGCATACATGTGGGAATAGCCAAAAATGTACACGTATATCCGGGGAGAGCACAAAAGGGCACGTATATAGCTAATGAGAAATGACTCAAATGCCCTCAAGCTTCTTTAAAAAGATTCCAAGCAGACATGTCGAAAGTCTTGCTCTTCTAAAGAAGAGAAAAAAAAAGAAAAGAAAAGAAAGAAAATAAAAGAAAAGAAAAGAAAAGAAATATCACGTTTATGTGACAACGACGTAGATGATATGAACAAAGTGTGTGTCAATTATAAGGTTTCTGAATACAATGGTTTTAGTAAATAATACTCCTTCTGGTCCTTTTTATTTGACCTTTTAGCATTTTTTCATTTGGTCTGAAATAATTAATTTTTAAAATTCAAGAAGGAATTAATTTTTTTTTCCAAGTTACCCTTACTAATAAATGATCTAAATAAAATTTTCAAAAAATCTTTACAATTCCCTTGGAGTAAATTTGAGAAGACACAAAAGGTTAATATGTCAATGACATTTTTATTAATGTTTAATGTATTGGCACTTTTATAGAAGTTATGTTTTGGTAAATTCACCTTTTATAGTTGTGTGTTTAAATCAAAATAAAAAAAAATCATACATTAGTGTTTTTTTACTGGCGACAAGTACAAAAATTGAGCCGTAATTTTATTGCCTTTACAATTTATTATATAACCTTGTAAGATCGAAAAAATAACAACCTCATAAAACAAAGATACAGCGCAAACGAATAAATATTATAAGATGTTACACTTTCTCGTCAAAGGAAGAAAAAGAAATTAAACAATTCACTTTACAATTAATTTTGATTTACTTTGTTTATGTAGAAGGGGAGCTTGGCGTAACTGATAAAATTGTTATCATGTGATTAGGAAGGCACGGTTCGAGCCGTGGAAATAACCTTTTGAAAAAATGCAAGGTAAGGCTGCTTACAATAGACCCTTGTGGTCCGGTCTTTTCGAGAACCCGCGCATTACAGGAGCTTAATACACTGGGCTGTCTTTTTTTTTTTTTTTTCGTATATAGTATAGTTGAAATACTTAATGTTAGGTGCTCCCAATAATAAAAGTGGTCCCATATATAATTTAGAGTAGGGTAGTGCGATTTGACATAACCTAACAAGAAAATGATAGAGCATTAACATATCTTAATTAAGACCTAATTCAAGTTTGGTTGTTTCTTGGTCAATGTTGGGAGTCTCATTCTTTATTGTATGCAATTTTTCAAATGTGATAACTTATTTTAATTTGAGTATTTTTAAATTTTAAGAAAGACTTTTTCCTTCTATACCATATATGAAACCTTATTACCAAAAATGTGCATAGTTTCATATTTACCTGTCATGTTCACAGTTATTCTACAAAATATATACCATTCATTAAATACCAATTATGAATGGTACATATTTAAGGTTCTTCTTGAAACTGTGTTCTCACCAGCGCTTCCCCTTTTAAAGCTGCTTCCCTTGAAGTTTGGGAAGATGATGTCCCCGAATAAAAGAATCTTGTTTCTGGGGATCCAATTGCAGACCGATGCAGATGCTTAAATCTCTTCTCCTTGAAATCACATCCTACAACCTACACAGTAGTTGAACAAGTTTATTAAGACCTCGCCACTCATTTCCTTGCACAGGAACTCACTTAGCATCTCCATTAAAAATACAAATCGAGAGACGGACAAGCAAAAAATTAAAGAATTGCTGATCATTGCCAATTATTAGGAGTTGATTCCTTCCTAATTAGGCGCGTTACAAATCTGGAACTAAATATTCTTCCAGATATTCCTATTTAGGCGTGCTACAATTATGGAAGTAAATATTCTTCTAGATATTTTCCACCACTGACAGCCATTAAAAAGCTTGAAAGCTTTGAATTCAGATTTGGGTTTTCAAAAAGGCGAAATACATAAACGACCCCTTCAAGTTGTCCTCAACGATCAGCTGAACACCCCAACTGATCCATTTATCATTTAGACACTTCAAGTGACTACTAAGTGTATCAAGTAAACACCTCACGCTGACATGGCAAGTTACGTGTATTTTAGTTTCATTTGGGCGCGTGAGACTTTTATCAGAACTTTTCTCTCTCGTTTTCAAAATTAAATTAAATTTTGTATGTGGGTCCCACACTATATCATTATATTTTCCTCTAACCTTTGGGGGGGGGGGGGGGTCGTCTCTCTCCAACTCTTCTTGTGGTTTGCTTTGCTAATGGTGGATTGCTTCAGAATTATCAGCAATCCAGGTTGTGTCTTTTTTCCTTGAATCCATTTTACGTGCACGTTTTCTGGAATTCCTCTGTGAAGAAACAACAGAACCTTGATTGGCCTGTTCTGGCACGTCAGAAGCAGGCTTCTGCACTGTAGGCTGGTTTCTGTCCAGCCATGCCTTCTTTCCAGATCTCTTGGAACAAGTAGAAGCTTGGGCTTTGCCAGCAGAACCACTCGAATGTCTGGACTTGGAGTTGACTTGAGGAGAAACTGGCCTAGGTGAATTCAAATTTAAGCATAGAGAACTGAACTGGACCTTCAAAAATTCGATAATGGAGGTCGCATAATCCGGCAAGATCCATTAATGATCCCTTGGTGGGTTCTCTTTTTGGATATTCTCTGTTATTTCATATTGGTTTGAATATTAATTTGTTGGGGGAAAGGATTTAAGAAAAGGAGATGGAGGACATGACTGATGCAAAGAAGAAGATGAAAGGGAGGGGGGAATGGGGAGGGGGAAGGGGGAGGGGCAGTGTTGGTGAGGGTTTTATTTCATCTTTAACGTATTTTCTTTTTTTTTTAATTATGTGGCGATTTTTTATTCCAATTTACACGTGTCATTTTTTAATTGGCTCATTTGACACATCATTGGCAAGTGTAGCTCACGCATAGAGTCTTCAGCACTCGGGTATTTACTTGATACACTTAATAGTCACTTGAAGTGTCTAAATGGTAAATGGATCAGTTGGGGTGTTCAGTTGGTCGTTGAGGACAACTTAGAGGGGCCGTTTATGTATTTCGCCTTTCAAAAATCATTATTTGTTTGGATTGGGTGTTGTTGAAAATAGTCGGGAATATGGTTTTGAGTTTTATCTCAATTTTGAGAGGTTTTGGTGAAGATTAGACTTGGTTTTGACTGAATTTTAGATTGAAACTCGAAGAAGAAGAAGAAGAAGAAGAAGAAGAAGAAGAAGAAGAAGAAGAAGAAGAAGAAGAAGAAGACATATTGCAGAAATTGTAGATTAATTGTAGATTATTTGTATTCTGATTGTAGATGCTTTATTTTCTGATTTCACAAACAAAAAACGGCTAAAACTTCTACAAATCTTATGAAAAAACGCAATTACGTCAAAAATCCCAATTATGCTACAATTGAATGGGAATTGGGATATAAAAATTCAATGTACCCAGTTTGTAGATATTTTGTAGATAAATTGTAGATTATTTGTATTCTAATTGTAGGTGCTTTGTTTTCTGTTTTCACAAATCAAAAACGACTAAAACTTCTACAAATCTTCTGCAAAAAATGCAATTATGTCGAAAATGCCAATTATGCTACAATTGAATGGGAATTGGGATATAAAAATTCAATGTACCCAGTTTGTAGATATTTTGTAGATAAATTGTAGATTATTTGTATTCTGATTGTAGATGCATTGTTTTCTATTTTCACAAATCCAAAACGACTAAAACTTCTACAAAATCTTCTGCAAAAAACGCAATTATGTCGAAAATACCAATTAAGCTACGATTGAATGGGAATTGGGATATTAAAATTCAATGTACCCAGTTTGTAGATATTTTGTAGATAAAGTGTAGATTATTTGTATTCTGATTGTACATGCTTTGTTTTCTATTTTCACGAATCAAAAACGACTAAAATTTCTACAAAATCTTCTGCAAAAAACGCAATTATGTCGAAAATTCCATTTATGAGATTGGACGAATCTTTATGATTTAAGAAGAATAAATATTAAAATAACATATGGAGCTAAGTTAAAGCTTGTGACAACTTGTACATATAATGTGCAAAAATCTCCAACGCAAAAGAAGAGTGTCCAGCTAGTGGAAGCCTGGGAACAACAGATTTTGTAGATCTGAATGAATTTAACTAAAACAACCTTCAACTCCAACCTGAAAGAATTGCGTTCTGGATATTCTACACAACTGAAACGTAAAGCAATGCTCATTCTGGAAGCCCAGGAATCAATTTCTGAACGGATAAGCTACATATTCCTTCCCCCACTTGCCAGTTGCCAACATGAAAAACATGATTGGTTGTCTTATTATTCTTTCCATTTTCTTCATTGTTTCCTTAGTTTTTCAAATTTTTAAAATGGAATTCGTCGTTGCTTTTTTGACGTTCATGTATCTAACCATTGTTGGCTTTTTTGGTTACTGCAAATTGGGCACATCTCAAAAATCTGGAGTTGAATTCAACCAGTAGCACTCGTTTCGGCCTCCAAAATTGAAGAATACTTTGGTGTGATAATGAAATAACGTCTGTATATTAAATGTGATTTGAATTGGCGAGTCAATAAATACACTAGAATACTAGATGGTTAAAGCGGAAAGAAAATTACAACTGAAAAATTAACAAGACAACGATACATAGTACATAACTAAGAATCAATAAAATGGGATATACGGTACCTTGAATTAAGGAGGGATATACGCTGCATTAATTGTACCCTTAAAATACATTATGGTGTAGAATTGGTAATTTGGTATACTAAGTGTAATTAAATCAAACCTTAAACATTGAGGGTAATAAGGTTTCCTATGTGGCATACGAATGTAAAAATTCTTTTTTAAAATGAGAAAGTCCAATTATGATGTTTTTTGTTTTTTGTCACAAGGTCTTATACAATTTCAACTAGTACAAATCGACACCCTTGCACGGACTAGTAGCGGTCGTTTGTATGTTTTGTATGATGGATAAACAAAATAATCTTATGATAAAAATTTAGTATTGTCTTATTCATTGTTTTGTTACTAAATCTGGGATAAGTTATCTCATGATTAAAAATAGTACCGAGACAATTTATACATGCTAGAGGGTGAAACAGTA